GCGTGAGACGACAAAGGAGAGGGGGGGGGGGGGGGAGTTGGGAGAGCTTTAGGGGAGGGGGGCGGCACCCTTCCCTCTCCCCAATACGGCTGCCCCACAAGCCTCTCCCCTCCCCCCGGCGTCACCTTCGGAGGCGAGCAGCCATGGGAAAGGGGAGGCAGGGGAGAACCTGCCTCCACCAGGCTCTTCACAGTGGTGGGGCACAGAGTCCTCTCACCCATACAGGACACACGGACCGGCCTTCTGCCAGAGCAGACCCTCAGTCCACCAAGGCCAGTCCTGCCTACTCAGACTGGCCGCCGCTCTCCATGGTCTCGGGCAGAAAAGGGTCTTCCGCACCACCTCCGTCCGGCCCACGATTGAACCCCTGAGCCACGGCCCATGCTGAGGACCATCCCATCCCTGGCCTGGCCCTTTTAAACTGGAGATGCTGCCAGGGATTGAGCCTGGGACCTCCTGCAGGCCAAGCAGAGGCTCTTCCACTGAGCCATGGCCCCTCTTGACAGCCCTCCAGGGTCTCAGGTGTAGAGGTCCTTCCCATCCCCTCCTGCCTGGTCCTTTTTAACTGGAGATGCCTCTGGGGACTGAACCTGGGACCTCCTGCAGGCCAAGCAGAGGCTCTGCCACTGAGCCACGGCCCCTCTTGACAGCTCTCCGGGGGAGGCGTGTCCCATCCCCTTCTGCCTGGTCCTTTTTAACTGGAGATGCCTCTGGGGATTGAACCTGGGACCTTCCACATGCCAAGCAGAGGCTCTTCCACTGAGCCACAGTCCTTCTTTACAGCTCTCCAGGATCTCAGGCGGAGGTCTTTCCCATCACCTCCTGCCTGATCCTTTTAGCTGGAGATGCTGCTGGGGATTGAACCCGGGACCTTCTGCATGCCAAGCAGAGGCTCTGCCACTGAGCCACAGCCCCTCTTTACAGCTCTCCAGTGTCCCAGGCGGAGGTCTTTTCCATCACCTCCTGCCTGGTCCTTTTTAACTGGAGATGCCTCTGGGGATTGAACCTGGGACCTTCTGCATGCCAAGCAGAGGCTCTGCCACTAAACCACAGACCCTCTTGACACCTCTCCAGGATCTCAGGCGGAGCCTTTCCCATCCCCTCCTGCCTGGCCCTTTTTAACTGGAGATGCCTCTGGGGATTGAACCTGGGACCTCCTGCAGGCCAAGCAGAGGCTCTTCCACTGAGCCACGGCCCCTGCAGTGGAGAAAGCAACATCCTCAGTACATCCAGCGCTGCGTTGTTTTGTCTGCTCGCCCCGTCCTTCAAGGACACTTTGAGAAGCCCCCTGATCTCTCAGAGGAAGGGGGGGGAGTAAGGCGGAAGGGACGGTGGCAGCACATGGGTCCCTCCTGCCGCTCCTTACCTGTTTTGACAAAGCACAGCGGGCAGGCCTGCCTGAGCTCGTGGGTGCCTTCCAGGGGATTCCGCGCGACCAGGGAGGATGCCGCCGACACCGGCACGGTCGTGGGGCTGCTGCTAAAGACACTCGAGTAGTCGTTCCGAGCCGGACCTGAAATCCCAACGTAGTTCTCAGACCCAAACAAGCTAGTTGGCCCATTCATCTGTCGGGAAGAAACAAAGTTGTCGCCTGTGAATTTGTGATCCATTTTTCATTCTCATCTGTAAACTGATGCAGAGGAAGTGTTATTAGCACAAAAGCAAAACATTCAGTCTCGTGTTTCATGTATTCCCACCTCTAAGAAGACATTCCTGTTAGAATTTTGAACAAGGACAACGAAGGAATTTAAATCTGAACAACCGATATCTGTTAAAAGTTTGTGCAGATATTTATGTTTGTAAAAATACTTTGTCCCAGTGCGTCCCGGGCCTCCCGCCACGATGGCCCCCGAACAGCCCCCCCAAGCCCCCCCCCCCGCACTTACCAGCTACAGGGACATTGGGGGGACGGCTGGCGACGATAGAGCATGGCCGGAGCCGACAAGGGAGGCGGTCGGCACGGCGGAAGGCACAGGCCAGCGGCGGCATGGAGGCACATCGGGGCCGTGGAGTGGCGGAGGCCCTGAGCACTCGCCACGGCACCAGAGGTGGCAGGCCGAGGCGGCGAAGAGGCGCGCTCGCCGGGCGGGGACAGGGGAGGCATGCTCCAGAGCCGCGGCGCTGGCTGGGCAGAGCAGCTCACCGGCATACAGACGGGGGCGGGACCAGCACGGGGCGTGGCGGCGTTTCTCCCTTTGAAGGGAGGCAGGGTCGGCGGGCTGGAGGAGCTTGGGCGCGAAGGGGGGTTATAAAAGGGGGAAAGGAGACGGCCGAGAGGGAGAAAGGAGGCCGTGGGAGAGAGCGGAAGCAAGGGAGAGCGGCTGCAAACTGCCCGGAACTCTGAGGAAGCCGGGAGGTGAAGTAACCTTCATCTGTCAGTTTGGTGTCGCGGTTAAGTGTGCGGACTCTAATCTGGGAGAACCTGGTTCGATTCCCCACTCCTCCACATGCAGCTGCTGGTGTGACCTTGGGACAGTCACAAGTTCTCTCGGAGCTGTTCTCTCAAGAGCAGTCCTCAAAAGAGCCCTCTCAGCCCCACCTGCCTCCCAGGGTGTCGGTTGTGGGGAGGGGGAAGGGAGAGGAGTTTGTAAGCCGCTCTGAGACACCTTTGGGCAGTGAAGGGCCATGGGGTATAAATCCAATCTCTTCTTCTTCTTCTTCTTCTTCTTCTTTGTGTGCCCCTGGCCTGAGGCCCTCTCTCTCCTAGCCCTAGGGGAACACGCCTCCGCGCCCCCGAGCTCCTGCAGACACCCTAAGGGCTTCCCCGGACAGTCGGCGCCCGTCCCTAGGGAACCCAGGAGAGGGTGGCTGCAATATAGAAACGGCCTCGGGGCGGGGGGGCGCGACACGTGGAGAGTCACGATCCGCATGACACACTTACAAGTAAAAGAGGAGAGTTACTGTTTAACGCTGATGTGCCGTCTCTAGAAGTAGAACTGGGTAGATCTGAAGGGTTACAAGATTTAAAAAAAAAAAAAAACAGGTTAGGTTTGCAGACATCTTACGCTCATGTAAACCGAAAAGAGCATCGCCTTTGTTCAGATGGGCACGTCACACTTAACCCCTGCTTCTGCCCATCACCAAGCGCCTGGCGCGGCCATCCTCAAACATGCTGCCAGAGGGGCAGAAGAGGAAGGTGCAAAAACCAAACCGCCATGTTGGATTCCCCCGCTCCTCTCTTAATTCCTGGGACAGGAAGAAGCCCTGGGAACCAGGACTCTACCGCTCAGGGAAACATCAGCAGTCCACAGTTCTAGTCTGAGAGCCATCCTTACCCAACAGCGGCCTGCCTTACAAGACTGTACCTTTCTTCACTTAACGAATGCTACGTTCAGGGCTCATTTCCTGCGGGAACGCACAGGAGCCGAGCTCCGGCAGTAAGGAGCCCAGGGGGCGGGCACATGCAACAAGCCCTGCCCCCTGCTCCCAGCACCCCTCAGTCGGGCCACGAGGAGCAAGAAGCAGCCAGGTAAGTTGCAGAGCCCCCCCGCCCGCCTTCAAGTACCAGCTCTCCCTCCCCTGCGAGGGCAGATCTGCACGTTCACACCACCCCCCCATAGCTAGCAATCCAAAACAGTCCAGTGGCACCTTTAAGACCAGGATTTATTCAGGTACAAGCTCTCCCTCCTCTGTGAGGACAGATCTGTGCGTCCCCCCTCCCCAATAGCTAGCAATCCAAAACAGTCCAGTGGCACCTTTAAGACCAAGTTTTATTCAGGTACAAGCTCTCCCTCCTATGCGAGGGCAGATCTGCACATTCCCCCCCCCCCATAGCTAGCAATCCAAAACAGTCCAGTGGAGCCTGAGCGGTGGGTGTCGCCTTCTGACACGCTTCCGGTGATGTCAGGGGGTGTGGCCTATGCAAATAGGTTATGCTAATGAGCCCCTGCACCTCTTTTTCTACAAAATGACCCCTGGTTACGTTCAATTAGACTCTGGCCAAGCGAGCTTCCCCCCCCCCCCCCGCCCCCAGCAGTGTGCCCTGTTTCCTAGCAGGGGAAGAAGGCTTTTATTCAGACACACACACCCCTCCCCTTCTGTTAAGTTTTTTAAAAAAAAATTACGACTGGCACCTCACCTCTTTTAGAATCACTGATTGAAAAAGTACTTAAACAACAAAAGTTGTCCAAGGAGGAAACCAAGGGCTGGGAATACATTTCAGAAAAGGCAGCGGCGGGAACGAACCCGGCTCCGACCGGCAAAGTCCCCAGCAGCGGAGTGGAGAAAGGGACGCTGGGGGCGATGGTGGCCACGGGAAGGGCTCCTCTGTCCACGGTGCTGGGCTGGAGGAGGAAGGAAAATGTCCACGTTTAATGCTGCGAGAGGGTCCCAAAACCTTCAGGGAACTCCATTCGACTTGTATTTGAGTTCTCCTATACTTTGTCTCAGCCACTGAAGACTGGCATCGGCTGCTGGTGTGGCGCTAACTTTTAAAATGGGATTTTATTTTTAGTACTGATTTTACTGGTTGTGGGGCTGGTTCCAAAATTGCTGCTTCCTGTGATGGGCGGGGACTTCTGCTTCAGGATGCAGTCAGGAGGCAAGAAATTCCAGAGCGAGAACCTCTTGCGAAACTGCCGTGCAAAACACTTGTGTGCTTTGCTGGGGCTCTGTGGTGCCTGCAGCATTCCTACAACCACCTCCTAAATGCTGCCCGGATGACTATCTAAAGGCGGTTGCGACTTGCAGCCCATGACAAACGACTGAACTACGACAGTAGAAAGAGCAAGAGTCCAGGGGCACCTTTAGCAAAATCACGGAGATATTTTCGTTAAACTGTATGCCAGACGAGTTAGATAAGAACCAAAGATATTTTATTTTACATGTTATGACAGCTGCCAGAAATTTTATTTGCAACGACATGGAGGACACAGCAAATTCCAATGCTACGTGCGTTGATGCCGAAGATTATGGAATGTGCTGAAATGGACAAGCTGACAAATATATTAAAAGGAAAAAAGGAAGAAGAATTTATGGGACCCCGGAGGGCGTTCTATGACTGGTTAAAACTCAAGTATTGAGAAAATAAGACTAAGTGAAAAATAATAAGAACGATAGATGAAATAGTTGTGAAATTCTAATAAGAAAATATGCATGTAGAATGTTAAACTGGAACTTGAATATTTTTACATTCCTTTTTTTCCTTCCTTTCCTCTTCCCTACTTTTTTTTTTGAAATGATTTTTATTATTTTCAAACAAAACATGACAAACATACAAACAGATATGAGAGTAATACTAGTAACACTATACCCTTTAAACTACCTCATACATATATATCTAAATGCCACTCTTGCTACGATAATATGTTTACTATTTAAGCAATATCTAAACATTCCCCTGCTATTTTTCTATACAGCTATCTTTAAGTTTTACAACTCAATAGGTTAACATATTTTCCACTGGAGGACCTCCTGATGGCACCTGGTATTTTTGGCCACTGTGTGACAGAGTGTTGGACTGGATGGGCCATTGGCCTGATCCAACATTGGCTTCTCTTATGTTCTTACGTTCTTACTGATTACCTTTTTGTCCAAGCATTCTACAATAGTCTTCTACAAAATATATTTAAATATTCCCCTACATCATAATAAGATTCTTTTTTCATGCTTTTTGTACAAGTTGTCAAGACTTCTAAAATCCTTAAGCCAAAATTAAATGCATTACATCTTTTATAAAAAAAAATTTAAACCTTAACACCTCCATAAATTTACATTCTATGTAATTATCAATTATCAACCTTGAACAATCTTATTCTAATAAACATTCATGGATATTCCCTAGACCGGATTTTTTCTTATACAATTCATACTCTTTTTTGTTAGACTATTTATGAGGCTAGTTTTCATCTTCCCATAAGTATTTTAAATGAGGGCTAAATTTTTATATATATATATTCTAGCACATCTTAACCAGTCAAACATAAATAGGGATTCTCTAAACCAATCTTATAACAAAATCCCTAAGCCGGTCTTATTCCTATATCTTAATTTTTTCTTTCTTTTTATAATTTCTTCTCTTGGATCTATGCCTCTTCTCCTTGTACGTGGAAATGCTTTCTTTCATGGTCTGCCATCTATAGTCAATGTTTAGGTTTGGAGAGCTCCGTAGAATCTGATAAGCTTCAAATATCTTGGGAGGAGATCCAGGCTGTGATTATTGACTAAGTGAACCAGGCAGTCAAGGAGGCTTTTGAACAGATATTAGAGCAAAAACCTTCAGCATTAAATCAAATCACTGGCAAGAAACCCCAGCACCGAACTGTGCAAGAAGCAGAACAACTCTACAATCAAGCTGACCCAAACAACAGTGAAAAGGAACTACGGCGCCCAACTGTGCAAAGAGGCAGGGCAATGCTATAATCAAGAGGAACTAATCTACGGGTGAGAATCAAGCTGACCTCAGCCGTGAGAATAATAGCTCTACTAAAGGACTGCCAAATTCTGGAACCATTAAAAGTGCAAGGAGGAGAGATGAAACAACCCTTCCCTACTTTCTTTAAAGGTAAAGGTCCCCTTGCTCGAAAGCCAGTCAAATCCGACTCTAGGGTTGCGGTGCTCATCTCCGTTTCAAAGCCGAAGAGCCAGCGCTGTCCGCAGACGTTTCCGTGGTCATGTGGCCGGCATGACTAAACACCAAGGCGCACGGAACGCTGTTCCCTTCCCACCGAAGCGGTACCTATTTATCTACTTGCAATGTCTTGCTTTCGAACTGCTAGGTTGGCAGGAGCTGGAACTAGAGACGGGAGCTCACTCCGTCATGCGGCACACTCGGGTCTCGAACTGCTGAACTACCGACCTTCCACAGCCTGCAGCTCAGCATCTTAACCACTTGAGCCACCGCAGCTCCTACTTTCTTTACATAAACTAATAAAAGTATTTATAAAAATAAATAAATAAATAAAGACTAACAAAATCCGTGGCAGGGCGAGAGCTTTCATGAGCTTTCTTTTCTACTGCTAGAGACAGAGTAAGATGGCTACCACCACCACCCCTCTTTATCTACTGAACTACAAAATGCTTCTTCCTTACTTGGAGAACCAATTCTGGAGGAGAAATTATTGCGGACGATTGAGGGGCCACAAACAGAGCATTCCAGGGAGATGCAACGTGTGGAAATTTTTTCTCTGATTCTGACAGAGCTTTCATCAACTTTATCCCAAGGAAAACAGCGGGCAGCTTACCATGACGCTTTCACCGGGGTCAGAGACCGAGTCTAGCAACTCATCCAGTTCGTCTCCGATGATGATATCTCCGTCCCCACAGTCTAAACAGCTTTCGGGCATGGTAAAAACGGTGCCTCCGTTGGTCAGCGAGGCACGAGGCAGCGAGCCCTTCTCGGCCGGAAGCCCCACCACAGAGGCGACCGGTAACGGCGGCAGGTCACTGGACACGTCGGGAGCAAAACTGGAAGAGGAGGAGGATGAAAGAGGCTTTTCCTTCCAACTGGAAAAATCTGAAACAGATTTTGGTTTGCAGAGACAGCTCCTCAGAACAGGGATTCTTTTAAGGGTGAGGTAAAGACAACAACGACACAAACCGCCCAATCCTCCCTGAACTGTAACGGGACGGAGACGGAACACCAACGTAACTGAGGCCCAATCCTGCCTGCAACTCAATGTTTTTCAGAACCCTCTGCGCCCCACTCTGCTCCCAAGGACAACAGCCCATGTAAAAATATGATTTATGTGAAGAACCAAACTTCTGCAGAAGGTAAAGTTACAGCATTCCTCTTAACTCCGCTAGGGAGAGGCCCTTCACGCAGGGAATGAGGCCCTTTGCCTGTGTACTCTGAGGCAAACGTGGCCCATTATCTTTCAGCCAAGCATCAACCCAATCTGCTACCCCACAAGTTAGACCGGGGGATCTGGCACTAGTACGGAAGGGAACAAACACAGCAAGGGGGAAGATTACATCACTGCAGAAACACAAGCTGTAGAAATATGTTGGAAGGGGCGCAAAGGGGAAAGACAGGAGCCTTTCTGAGCTGACCTGTTTAAAAATAAGTCTGGTGATGGAGCACAGAATTGCTCTTTACGTACAACTTTTCCGTGTTAAGGCGGTATATAGTCCAAGAAGCCTCACCTGATTCAATATCTTCTATAGAGGAATTTGAGCCCTGCAAGCAAGCAAAACATCCGTTATGAGGTTCTGCACAGCGGCTGCCTCGGGCGGGAATTCTTCTGGTTTTCAACAGCTCGCCGGTACTCAAGGCAGATTACGTGGTGCAAGACAATGCAAGCGAAAAAGACGAGACACTCCAGGAACAGCACAATTAGGACTACAAAATATTAGGAGAATACTAAAAAGGCGGCAGGCGTGGCCCTCAAAAAGCAAAGTTTCAGGCTATTTCAGAGACTCGAGCTGAGCACGCCAACAGGCATCAGGAGACCCAAAAAAGCTACTGCAAGAACAAAACAACGTGGTTTTTGAAATCCTAAAATGTCCAATGTAATTTACGTGTTTTCTCATAATGCTACTTTGTACAAGTTGGAAAAAACAGCAGAAAAAAACACCCTACTTAAACGGGCCCTCAGCCGGCGCGCATGAGACAGGCCCTGTACATTCTTGTCTGTAAGAACAGTACTTTCTTCAAACAGCAAGCTACATCACGCACAATACATTTCATTTCCTGTGGCTACTTTACAAACCTGGCTCATGATTCTGCTGCCAAGATCTGGTGACGCTCACAAGGCAGTTTAGAAATTTAAGGGCCATTCGATTTAGAAATGTAATGGAGGGGCTGTAGCTCAGTTGAAGAGCATCTGCTTGCCCTGCAGGAGGTCCCAGGTTTAATCCCCGGCATCTCCAGTTAAAAAGGCCCAGGCAGGAGGGGATGGGAAGGACCTCTACATCTGAGACCCTGGGGAGCTGTAAAGAGGGGCTGTGGCTCAGTGGAAGAGCCTCTGCTTGGCCTGCAGGAGGTCCCAGGTTCAATCCCCAGCAGCATCTCCAGTTAAAAAGGACCAGGCAGGAGGGGATGGGAAAGACTTCCGCTGAGACTCTGGAGAGCTGTAAAGAGGGGCCGTGGCTCAGTTTAAGAGCATCTGCTTGGCCTGCAGGAGGTCCCAGGTTCAATCCCCGGCATCTCCACTTAAAAAGGACCAGGCAGGAGGTGATGGGAAAGACTTCCGCCTGAGACCCTGGAGAGCTGTGAAGAGGGGCCGTGGCTCATTGGTAGAGCCTCTGCTTGGCATGCAGAAGGTCCCAGGTTCAATCCCCAGCATCTCCAGTTAAAAAGGGCCAGGCAGGAGGTGATGGGAAAGACCTCCGCCTGAGACCCTGGAGAGCTGTGAAGAGGGGCCATGGCTCAGTGGCAGAGCCTCTGCTTGGCATGCAGAAGGTCCCAGGTTCAATCCCCGGCATCTCCAGTTAGGACCAGACAGCAGGGGATGTGAAAGGCTTCTGCCTGAGACCCTGGAGAGCAGCTGCCAGTCGGAGTAGACCTTACTGAGTTTGAAAGACCAATGGTGTGATTCAGGACAAGGCAACTTCATGTGTCTTCATGGGAATGCAGCGTCTATTGTCAGGATTCCCATTCCGGCTCTCCTAAGAGGGAAACTGTTCCATCAACACCCGAAAGCGCAGTTCACAGAAAGACGGGAAACAATTCTTACCTTATTAGACACTACTCCAGAGGCAGGGTTGGCGGGAAGCTGCAATCAAGCAGATGGTTGTGAGCAGCTGATACGGAACAGCCAGGTATCAAAACCAACATTGTAAAAAAGAGAGAGAGACAGACACACAGACACACACACACACCCTGGGAACTTACTTTTGCTCGAACGTAGGCTTTTCTTATTTTTAATCCTAGCTTCTGAGCGAGCTCTTGAGTTAATTTTATCACGCTTTCATCCTATTTGAAAGCAAAAGAGAGAGAGAGAGAAAGCGTGAAAGATAATCCCAGCCGCTTTAATAAAGCGCAGGACTTCCTTCCCCTTCATCCAATAAAAGCGGCTCAACGCGCAGACCCGTCGAGCAGAGAATAGACTTGTGAGAATCTCACAGCACGAGAGAACAGGATCCGCCCCTGATCGCTGGCCTCTTCCCCGGAGGAGCTTGCCCATTAAAACGGCCTGGAGGTCTTTGAGCACAGAGTCGGAGTGACAGAATTTTAAGCACTGCCCCCCCCCCAATGCTCCAGGAGGCCCACGTGATGAACGCAAAGTGGGGCGGGGCGGTGGGGCTTAAAAGAGGCTAAGCTTTGTCAACATCCCCCTGCAAGAACACTCTAAGGCGCATCTGTAACGATTCCTTGTTTTTGTGTGGGCGTGTCTCTTTAAAAGTTTGGTTGCATGACGGTGGTAGATAGAGTGGTTGAGAGAGGCAAGTGTGGTATGACTGGTGGTTGACAGAGAGGGGGAGGGGTTTTTGGAAGTGAAAATGAGTGGATGAGTATGTATGTCAGTCAGGTTTTACAGTTACAGGTTTGAGAGTAGATAAGTTGAGGGAGTTCTGTGTGTGAAAGGAGAGAGAAGCAGTCCTGTGTGGAATAAGTTAGTTCTGTGTTGAAGCAGTTAAGAACAGCTGAGGTTGTTCTGAGAGAAAGTATAAGAGATCTGAGGGCTAAGTTTAGGAAAACGTGAAGTTTAAGTGAAGAAATGTTATAGTAAAGTCTGGGTGTTATAACAGACTGGAAAGAGACAGTGAACCTGTATGGCATTGAGATAAACCAGTGATACAAAGCTACCTGAAAAGATCCCTGTCAGTAAGGGAGAAGATTGTGTGTGATACACCAAGCAATTGTTCAGTATTTACACATTACTAGTTACATTGTTCTACCCTCTTATTTATGATTTATTTCAATAAATCCTCTTTCATTCAAGTATACCAGCTCTGAAATAAATACTTCCTCAGGACCACATAGTTCCTCGTAAGCCTTGAACTCGGTCTACCAAAATAGGAAGAGCAACAGTAAAGTATAAAGGTTTGGAAATCCTTAAAATTTCCTAGTGGCAGTCGTATATACCCAGATAAACAGAATAAAAAGAGAACTTTTAAAGGGAACTGGTCCTCCCCAATAAGGAGGACGTCACAGCATCGCTTCCCCCAATGCCGAGCAGCATCAAGGCCAACCGCCCGCCGGTAGGATTTGCTTACTTGTGGTACCGCCAGGGAACATTTCGCCACCGCATCGTAAGCCTCCTGGTACCTCCCCAGCTCCTTCAAGGCTCTCGCTCTCCGGTAGAGAGCTCTGAAATTGTTCCCGTTCAGCTTTAAAACGATCCCGCAGTCTTCCAGAACTTTATCGTGCAGGCCCTGGTACCGGTGGAGTGACAAAAGAAAAGGTGGGCTTAGAACGTTTGGCGACTCAGACCCAGGGGTGCGAGACGCCGGGTCGGGTTCGCTGCGCCGCCGAATCCCGTTTCTGAATCGCGTACGTGCGGGGGCGGCAGTCTGTGACCCTCTCTCAGCTGCGTGACCTTTTGAATCCCAGGCGCCTTCCTGCCGAAGAACTGTTGTCGTTCCACCCTGTGAAACCCAATCCAGGCCTTCTGTCTCTAAAAGCTCAGCAGCAAGAGAGGAAATATTCCTTCCTGCCTCCCTTTCCCCTCTCCCCCCCCCATCCCACTGCCTTGAACTGTAACCACCCTCTGCAACATCCCTTTAGTTCAGGGGTGGCCAAACTTGCTTAACGTAAGAGCCACACCGAATAAATGTCAGATGTTTTAGAGCCGCAAGACATGAACAAATATCACACACACGTTTTTATTGAAAAAATATGCAAATTTGCTTTTTAACAACATTAAATTGATACCTTCAGATGGGGAGAGAGGAAGGAAGGAAGGAAGGAAGGAAGGAAGGAAGGAAGGAAGGAAGGAAGGAAGGAAGGAGATAGGGGAGGGAGGAAGGGATGGATGGAAAGAAAGGAATGAACTTTGAACCAGATTAGTGTAGTGGTTAAGTACGCGGACTCTAATCTGGGAGAACCGGGTTTGATTCCCCACTCCTCCACTTGCACCTGGCTGGATGACTTTGGGCAAGCCCTAGTTCTGACAAGAGCTGTCCTTGAAAAAGAGCAGTTTCTGTCAGAGTTCTCTCAGCCCTACCTGCCTCACAGGGGTGTCTGTTGTGGGGAGGGGAAGAGAAAGGAGTTTGGAAGCCGCTCTGAGACACCTCTGGGTAGTGAAGGGCCATGGGGTATAAACCCAATCTCTTCTTCTTCTTCTGTGTGCTGTGTGTGTGTGCCTGGAAGTCATGGCAACCTCTGGCGACTCCTACTGTGGCATGGAGGCCGTTCAGAGAAGTGGCTTGAGAGCCTGCCTGTGGCTTCCCGGCCCTGGTATTCCCTGGAGGTCTCCCATCCAAGTACTTGGCAGGGTCGGCCCTGCTTGGCTTCCGAGATCTGATGAGATCGGGCTTCCCTGGGCCATCCAAGTCAGGGCTCCGGGGCTGTTTTTCTAATAGGCACCCGGCCTGATCTCGTTCAGAGGAACTGTGCCTGGCTCCCGAAGGCCCTGGGCATCACCCAGCCTCCTGAGCCAGTGCGCTTTGCCCCCTCCTCGGTTGCCAACTCGAGCCGCAAGAGAGGCTCGTAACTTGGTTTCAAGGGCAAAGGACTGACTCCCCCCCGCCTTCGAAGCAGGTCTCAGAAGAGCAACGAGACAGGCACCGCTCACCTTTTTAGAATAACACGCTATACGGTTCACGTGCATCCTCTCTATTATTTCGTCGGAGATGTGGATTCCCTCGCTATTGGCATAATCTGCGATGTTTAAAGCTTCGGAGTAGTGGTTCAGTGACCCGTCCCAGTCGCCCTCTCGGTACGTATCATTCCCTTCGTTAAACAGGTTCTTGACAAGCTCTCGTAGGAATACCTGGAACAAAAAGAAGCGCTCACAAGCCAATCCGTGCCTTTGAACTCTATCAGAGGCCTCTTCCCTAGGAACGCCTGCTGGGCTCTCTCAAAGCAACAACAGAAGGGGGCAGCTGTTATCTGGCCCTTCCTGATACAGTCCTAGAAACCGCTGCCAGTGAGACCGTGGCAAATAAATAAGGGATACAGAAAGTATTCCAGTGCCTTCTCTCGGCCACAGCTGCAGTCCTAGCAATAAATAAAAGGACCACGGTGAACTGTCATGATGTGCAAAATTCTTACACAGTGAAGAAAATAATTACAATGGGTCTATCCATGGATTCTCTGTATAAGTTATCTTTCACAAAGGCATATCAGTTAATTAAACGTAGAATCCTGGATATAGAAATGCAAAAACTAGTTAGCGATGCAAGCAAAGCCTGCTCCCCCTCGAATTTTGGAATCCTTCCAACTATCGGCCATCGGCCTTCATACTTATCAGCCCTTTACGCTCCACAATTGCGCCGAGCATTTGCACTTGCTAGATGCAATATGCTTCCATCTGCTGTTACCTATCTCTCCTTATATATAATTGAATAGTGGGTGCCAAAGTTCTAATTCTAAAATGCACTCCCTTAGTGTATGGCTGATGGCACTGCTCCTCAGCATATATCGCCACCAATCAGAAGGCAAAGCCCGGGTCCCGCCCACACCACAACTGCTGCGACAACCTGGTCTTTTGCATATGGAAGCTGATTGGACTTCAGGCCATTCCCCCCCCCAAACCCCCCCCCCCCCCCGCAAGGCAGTTGGGATTTTCAGTTGCATAACATACCTCATAGGGGAGAGGAGAATGGGTAACAATGGTTACCACTCTCCAGGTGAGGGCTACAGATAACTCAAACATACAAATGCTCTTCAGGTAGCAGAGATCAGTCCCTCTGGAGAAAACAGTGGACTCTGTCATTAAACCCTGCTGAGGTCGCCACAGGAAACTGACACTGTTTGCCCAAAGCCAGAGCACTCTCCCAGAGCCTCTTTCAAGATCCCGTTGTATTTATTTCCGCAACGGGCATTATTTCTAGTAACAATGATGAGATACGTCTTACCTTTTTAGGTCCAATCTTATTTTACATGATAGGCTGTCCAGACGCTTTTAAGGTGCGCTACCTCTTGAATGATTTGTCACCCGAAATAACTGAAAACGTAGCCTCTTTTTAAAGTTTGGTAATCAAGGACCGTCTGCACAATGTATAGATGCATGTGATTGATTCATTTCTCCTTGTTACCTATTTATCCACTTTTGTTTCTTCCTGTAACCTAACATATGCCAATAAAGGTCTCCGTGTGTATGTAGCAAAATTTCTTCAAAATATCTATTTGAACCTTGGAATCAAATTCTACAATGCTTCCACAAAAAGCTTCCACAAAAAATTACAAAGTTCCAAAAAGACTTCGTCCGAACTGCCTGAATAGAACCTGAGCACACACAACAGTTCAACAACCCTTCATCCCAACCCTAACAGCTGTCTTGTCAATTTCAAATGACAACCACATTGACGATTTGAAACTGACAAGACAGCTGTTAGGGTTGGGATGAAGGGTTGTTGAACTGTTATGTGTGCTCAGGTTCCATTCAGGCGATTCTGACAAAGATCAAGGAAACTCGTTGACACTCCAGAATAGTGCATTGGCCTCCTGGAGACTTTTTGGAACTTTGTAATTAGGACTTTTTCCACACTGAAGTGTTATATGTCCTGATTGTTGATCATTTATTGTGAGCTGCCAAGGTTGTTATTCACTTTGTACTTTATACTTTATTGTATTTCCATGTTTTGCACCGGACCTTTCATTTCTTTAAATTGTACACTGGACTATTCCACTGTTTTAACAATTTGATCTCAGGTTCACAAGTCTATGGTTGTTCTCAATGACAAATGGACTATGTCAAATGTTATGATCTATCGCTAATGTATGTTTTAACACCCAATCTTTTATGGCTATCTACTGTTTGCCTTTTGTATATGCAATCTTCATGCTGTTGTACACTCTTATTATCAATTCTTATTTTATTATCTTATTATCAACTCTTATTTTATAAATTAAACATATACTGTGATCTATCGCTAATGTATGTTTTAACACTCAATCATGGCTATCTACTGTTTGCCTTTTGTATATGCAATCTTCATGCTGTTGTACACTCTTATTATCAATTCTTATTTTATTATCTTATTATCAACTCTTCTTTTATAAATTAAATATATATTGTGATCTATCTCTAACGTATGTTTTAACACTCAATCTTTTGTGGCTATCTACTGTTTGCCTTTTGTATATGCAATCTTCATGCTGTTGCACACTCTTATTATCCATAAAATTTATAAAATTAAATATATATTGTGATCTATCTCTAACGTATGTTTTAACACTCAATCTTTTGTGGCTATCTACTGTTTGCCTTTTGTATATGCAATCTTCATGCTGTTGCACACTCTTATTATCCATAAAATTTATAAAATTAAATATATATTGTGAGCCGCTATTCCAGACAATTCCATTTTTTGTGGAACTATTGTAGAACTTGATTCCAAAGTTCAAATAGATATTTTGAAGAAATTCTGCACAGCTGTGGTCCCAGCCGTGCAAAACTGTGATACATCAGAGCAGCCGCTGAGGGCCACCACCGGCATTCCCGCCCCGCCACAACACAGACTTTGCCATCTTCGCCACCCTAATCCGAATCACTCGCTGTCTCTGTACCCTGCTTTTTTCAGGTAAGGGTCTCCCAAAGCAACTCGTACCGGTCAAGCGAAGGGGGCCATCGCCTTCCATTTACGCACTCAAGAGACCACGGGAGAGAAGGGGAGGGGGTAGGGTGACCGGCCCAACCGGGTCGGAAGAGAGGGAACCCGGGTGCCCAACTGAGGCTACGCCAGGGCTCCCTGTCCTCACAGCGGCCTTTGCTCCTGTAGCCCAGTCAGAGAGGCCGGATCGCCCCTCCCCTCCCTTCCGCAGTCCCAAGTCAGTCCCTGTGCTATGCAAAACATAAAGCCCCCGCCCTCCACCATGCTGGGACCGTAAGCGTAACCTGCTGATCTGCCAAGACAGGACTCCCCGACTGCCTCAGAGCAACAGCTAGCGAAGGGAAGGAACGCCACGTAGCCGAACGGCTTACAAAGACGTGTCAGATTTACAGCCACAACAGAGAAGGGAGGAAAGTTACCTCATATTGCTCTTGTGTCCCGGGGAAGGGTAACGTAGACCTAGGAGAAACCAGAATGGAGTATTTTAAAATGTATGCAGGCCTTGCCCAAATGGTATATAGCCAAGAGAACTGGGGGGGGGGGGGGGAAACTCCCCACCTTGAAAGCTTTTTTTAACTTGTGGTTAAAGGTAAAGGTTCCCTTGCTCGAAAGCCAGTCGAGTCCGACTCTAGGGTTGTGGTGCTCATCTCCGTTTCCAAGCCGAAGAGCCAGCGCTGTCCGAAGACGTTTCCGTGGTCATGTGGCCGGCATGACTAAACACCAAGTCGCACGGAACGCTGTTACCTTCCCACTGAAGTGGTACCTATTTAAAGGTAAAGGTTCCCTTGCTTGAAAGCCAGTCAAGTCCGACTCTAGGGTTGCGGCGCTCATCTCCGTTTCAAAGCCGAAGAGCCAGCGCTGTCCGAAGATGTTTCCGTGGTCATGTGGCCGGCATGACTAAACACCAAGGCGCACGGAACGCTGCTACCTTCCCACCGAAGTGGTCCCTATTTATCTACTTGCAATTTCTTGCTTTCGAACTGCTAGGTTGGCAGGAGCTGGAACTAGAGACGGGAGCTCCCTCCCTCATGCGGCACACTCGGGCCTCGAACTGCTGAACTACCGACCTTCCACAGCCTGCAGTTCAGCGTCTTAACCCCTTGAGCCACTGCAGCTCCAACTTGTGGTTACGACATTCCAACAATTAACCAAGAGCTGCCAGGTTGCGAGCCCGATGGGGTTTTCAAAGCAAAGAAGGTGCAGAGGGGGTTTGCCCATTGCCTGCCTCTGCGTAGCGAACCCGGACTTCCTTGCTGGTCTCCCACCCAAGTACTAACCCAGGGCCGACCCTGCTTAGCTTCTGAGACCAGAAGAGAACGGGCTCGCCTGGGCCATCCGGGTTTGGGCAAGAGACAAACAGAGGTGCTTTGCCCTTGCCGGCCCCTGCGTTGTGGCAACCCTGGGCTTCCTTGGAGGTCTCCCATCCAAGGACTAGCAACGGCTGATCAGGGTTTGGCTTCCAGGCTCCAAGACGTTCGGGCTCGTCTAGGGTACTGAAACTGCTGTGTTCTCAAGCACCCCCTTCTCCACATCTCTGAGAATTCCCCAAGCCGGAGTCGGGAGCTCAGGGTCATCCGTGCTTCGTAACAGGTGGAGAAGAGTCCCAGCTCAGCATCTGCCGCATGCAAGACTGCGGCCTGAAGGCTGAGCCACGGTCCCTCCCCAGAACTGTAGGCTGGGAGGTCACCGGCATGAAGAACGGACTCTTTCCAAAAAAAACTGTCTCTTTCCCCGTTTTAAAGCACGGAAGCTGGGCCCTGCCAAGTCAGCCAGGACGTTCAGAGCGGCAGAGAAAGGGGGAGCATGACGAATAGCTCACGCTTATTTTATTATTTATTGATTTATTTCTCAGATTCCTAGCCAAGGCCGGGTTACATAAAATCAGCCTCTCTTTACAGTAAAACAACTAGGACATTTAAAGCATGGCCAGGGTCCGACTTACCTGAGGGACCGCCTTTCCCCACATATACCCCCAAGAGCACTTTGGTCGGGGACACAACATCGCCTGGTGATTCCAGGCCCCCGGGAGGCAAGGCTTGCCACGACCAGGGCCAGATCCTTTTCGGTGGCGGCCCCTACCTGGTGGAATGAGCTCCCGGAGGAGATCAGGGCCCTGCGGGACCTTAGGCAGTTCCACAGGGCCTGGAGGAGCTCTTCCGCCAGGCTTTCGCATAGGGGCCGCCACTGCCACCACCACCACCACCACCAATGGTGTGGATAACAACGGGGCTAGGGAAGATCTTCTACAACACCACGTGGCACTGGTACCACCGGACTTACTTGGAACCAACTACAGGACAAGATCACCCCCAAAGAACTGTTACCATCATGAGATTTATTTGGGGACCATCCTGTTTTCATGGAGCACTTTATTTTTATCTGTGTTATTTAATGGTTTTATCGCTTTTATTATGTTTTACGTGGGCTCTGGCCCCTTGTAAGCCGCCCTGAGCCCGCTCACGGGGAGGGTGGGGCAAAAATGTCAAAAATAAATAAATAATAAATAAATAAATAAGCAACGCTAGAACCAATTAACAATAACATAGTGGGTGCTAGTATTGTTACTGAATCAACGACGGCTCCCATATCAACTCTTTCTTCCCGTAACCGGCTCCTAAGTCTTCTTCAGGTGTGTGTTTCAGGCGGCTGGCACAGGCCGCTATTACCAATTCCAGAGACAACAGGGCTTCCTGTCCTTCAACTACTAGTTGTTAATGTTTAGTGGTGGCGGCAACTCCAGAAACCTGGCGGAAGAGCTCCTTCTTACAGGCCCTGCAGAACTGTAAGAGGTCCCGCAGGGCCCTGATCTCTCCTGGGAGCTCGTTCCACCAGGATGGATCCGCCACCGAGAAGGCCCTGGCCCTGGTTGTCGACAGCCTGGCCTCCTTAAGACTCGGGAGGGCCAACCGGTTCTGGGCCCCTGAACGCGGTGCTCTCCGGGGGAAAGCCTGCATCTGAACTGGACATTCAAACAGCCGTAGAGTCCGATCCCTGCGGGGAAGAGCTTTTCGCACGGTCTGCAGGCACAAGGGTGCTGCCTGCATGCTCAGGCAGCCTTGGTTTTCTTACATCCGCATCCTACTCTGCCATTCACAGAGGCACGTTTCCTCGGCACTAAAGGGAGATTAAAGCCCGCTGCCCGCCAGACGCTGCCCCTTTAGTAATGCCGCTGCTCACACGGGCAAATGGAAGGCAGACCATTCTGTGCCTATCTGTGCACTGAAAGGCCAAGCTGGCTAATCATTACGCTGTACACACACAAGGTCCCACGTATTTCTTCAGTCAACGCAAGTTTGGGTTTAAACCAAGGCAATTACACCGGTTGCTTTAAACCAAAGCAAACACAGACGTTAAGAATCCCACCGCCTCCTCCAACAGACATCCAGGAACGAGGAAGGCCTTACTGTATAAACTGCAGTCCCTTTTTGATCTCTTGCTGTCTGATGCTTCTATCCACGGAAACATTGGACATGTTATCATGAACATCCACTTCTTCAGTATGCAGCTACTGAAACAAAACGACAAGAGGGCAGTTGGTGGGTCGACCATTCAGGAAAAGAAACAAGACACTTAGCTGTGCAAAGGAAATGAGCAGTACATATTTCTCGTTGGTCAGAAAACGGCCCGGGGGGGGGGGGGAGAAGTAGAAAATGTTAATTCTTTCCTTAACTTGAGCTTCCTGAGTACAGCCTTAGACGAGAACCTGCGTTTAACCTGCAGCCCACCCAAACCACACGCCAGATGCTCAGTAAACTGAGCTCCAGAGACAAACTGGACACACGAAACAGAAAAATCTCCTAAAATTTGAAAGCCTCTTCAAGCGTGGCCCGAGCACAGCTGCTTTGCAGAAACCAATACCGGGCCAGCCAACCAGCAGCTAGCGTGGCTGCTTCCCTATCTGAGAAGAAGACATTTAAAATGCAAAAGCGAGAAATGAACCTGCAGTTAAACCTGCAGTTTGGCTGCGACAATGAAATTCTGACTTGACCTAACCGCCCAGGGCTCACGGGCCAAGCAAGAACAGCTCTGTGGCAACTCCAAATCGTTCTCATTTACTGAGCGGGAGCAACGTCCGCGGACTCGACTTGCCACTCACAATCTCAGAGCGTCACTTCAAAATCTGCACCTTGCCTACTGCCCTGGCAAGAATCCTCCCAGTGGCTTTGGAATTCCAGCAGACACCAAAGGATACCTCACAAAGAGAAACTGTGCATTGCTGGGGAGACCGCAGCCGAGCGTCCGTGCGCGCTGAGCACAGTCCCGTCGCTTCCGACTCGTGGCTACTCTACGGATTAATGTCCCCCCCAAAGCGTCTTAGCGTTAACCAGCCTTGCTCTGGTCTTGCCATCTGAGGGCTCTTGTGGCTTCCCTTGATGGAATCAGTCCCTCTCAGGCTGGGTCTTCCTCTCGTCCTTCCGCCTTCAGCTTTGCCTAGCACGGCTGTCTTTTCTAGCGACTGTCGCCTTCTCAGAGCCATAAGCCGGACAGGCACAAATACTTGTATGGAACGTTAGAATACTTTTGAAACTAGATCAGGTGGGTCGTTGCGTCGGGTCTGAAGCGAAGGGACAAAGTTTGAGTCCAGGGGCACCTCTAAGACCAACAAAGTTTGATACTGAGTATAAGCCTTCGTGCGCAGGCACACTTCTTCAATGTATCTGAAGAAGCGTAGATACACACACACACACAAACACAGAGAGAGAGACAAAAGCTTATACTCAGTATCAAACTCTGTTGGTCTTAGAGGTGCCACTGGACTCAAACTTTATAAGTCTATTGTTTTTATGTGTTTTTATAATACTGCATTCATGCAGTGTTTTATTGTATCAACTTGATGTACGCCGCCCTGAGAAGGCAGGATATAAATCGAAAATAATAAATAAATAAATAAACTTTGTTTCCTCAGCAGAGTTATTCCAGTCTATGCCGGCTGCTTTAAACAGGCTTAAACTGGGGTAAACAGGCTTAAACTGTGCACAGGCTTGAACTGTTCAAACACTGATTTAAACTGGCCTAAACGGTGCACAATTGAGCTGCGAGACCTACAGTATCCATAATTACAAAGCTAGCAGTTAAAAGAACAAGGTAGATGCAGCGTAAGACTCACTGAAGACCCTCAAGAACGCAACGAGAAGAGCTGCTTTATAGTCCAGTATCAGAAATACTAACGAGAGAGGTTCAGAGACTTTGTATAGCATTCGTTAATGAGAAAGGCACTACACTTTATCTGGGGGAAATTTTAAACAGGACGTGCCAGAGAGCTAAACAGACACTGAAATGAAGCCCTACTACAAA